TTAATTTTGGGATGTTTCCCTTCTATTACAATATCACTTTTACCTTTTCAAAAAAAAGCATATACAATAAAATTTTATTTATTTGAGATGTCTCTATGAATCGTACTTTTTTGGGTTCACCAAGTGGGACTTCCAGAGGCATCAGGCATGTCTGATTCTGATTTGTGCGTCTGAGTCAATGCAACACTGATTCCCCACATTGTTAAAGCTGACCAAAAGTTGTCTTCTCAGAAAACATATCCTCTCTCTCAAATCAATTAAGGTGCTTAATCGTTCCTAAAATTTGCCTGCCTGTCCAGATCCAAGAATAACTGATTCTGCTATAATTTCTAGAAACTGTAAGCACTCAATGACTTCTCTAGTAAGAGACTTCTTAGATGGGATACTGAACTACCTTTCTATTAGCAATGTTAAAACAATCAATAGTTGGCTTGCCTGATTTCATGGAAACTGAATTTCTACATCTGGAGACAAATGTGTAAAATTTTAGCAATCCTTGTTCAGTCATCATGCAAGAGGTGCCACCAAGGCCATTCCCCAACTTAAATCCAAGCAAGTGGAAATTGTCAAGAATTTAGCAATACCTTTCTAGAGGCTGATACCAAATTTGGCTGTTACAGGTATAGGTACTTAGTCATCTGGGAGTAACTATACTTTGTCTGGATGGCTCTATTTCATATGCCTAAATCTTCTGTAGTAAATCTCTGAATTATCCTCTCAACAACATTTTGGTCATAATAGCATATTTTTAACCCCCAATCCACCAAAAGTGTCTGGCCTTCAACCCCTTTTCTTTTGATGGCATAGGTTGCACAACTTTAGGATGCTTTGTGTCTATTGAACTCTGTTGATCCTGGCCTTGACTTTTGTACTGCTGTCTACGAAAGACCCGAAATGGAGGAGGATTGGGAGGAGAAGGCAATAGCACTTGTTTCTATTTCTCCTCACTTGAACTCTCCCCCTGAGGAGAAGTAGAAAAGAAAGGAACATCCTCAAAGAAAGAGACATCCATGGATACAAAGTACTTTTTGGAAATGGAATCAAAGCAACGACAACCCTTTTGGGAGAGAGGGTAGCTAAGGAAGAGACAAACAATAGATTTGGGATCCAGCTTACCATGGGTAGGAGATAAATCATGGACAAAACACTTACACCCAAAGACACGCATAGGGATAGGAAACTATGGAGCCTTAGGGAAGAGGAGATGATGAGGGGACATGTACTCCAAGAGACGAGATAGCATCCGATTGATGACATAAGCCACAGTCATAACAACATCCACCAAGAACCTTTTTGGAACATTCATGTGTATCATCAACCCCTGGGCAACCTCTAGGAGATGACGGTTTTTCCTCTCTGCAACCCCGTTTTGTTGAGGGGTTCTGGCACAAGAGCTACGAAGAAGCGAGCCACAATTTTCAAAAAATTCTACGAGATCACCATGAAAATACTCTTTGGCATTGTCTGATTGGAAAATTTGTTTGAAATTGTGTGTATACCATACGTTGAAAAGATTTCACAAGTTTAGGGATTTCCTCTCGAGAGTGCATAGGGGTAAATCCAAGTATATCAAGAGGAGTCATCAATAAAAGATATGAAATATTTGTAGCCATTTTCCATTGGAATATTTACAGGTCCCCAAACAAAGTTCTAAAATGCTTGCTTAGCTAAAACACTTAACACTGAAAATCATTGACTAACACTGACTTAAACAATTCTGGAAACAAATACTTCAAAGACTCAAAGGACATATGACCCATACGATTGTGCCACAAAGTAATCTGACTGTTATTGGACCGACTCAAAGACTCTGAGGCCACAAGACCAAAATATAGAGACCATTCACCATGTTCCCGCTACCGATCGTCCTCCCGGAGGCCAAATCCTAAAAGACACAAGATTGAGGAAAAAAAGCTTACTGAGCAGTTCAAAGATTGTGTAGTGTTACTAATAGATAACAAATTAATAGGCAACTTTGGAACATGTAAAACATTTGACAGAGGTAGGCCAAATGGCAAAGATATAGATCCTCGACCAGCAATGAAGGAGAAAGATCCACCAACTAACCTCACTTTATCTCTACCAGAAAGAAGGGTATATGATTGGAAAAAGGTTAACTTACTAGTCATGTGATTGGAAGCACCCGAATCAATAATCCATGGAGATTCGGAGGTATCAGTAGACACATGGAATGCAGAAGCTAAGTTACCTAAGGAAGAAGCAAAAGAGGTGGAGGGAGTGAGTCCAAAATTTGCTTGTGTAGTGCCCTACCATATTGCTCCAAATGGTCACGGAAGGCATTGATAATATTTTCCTTGAGATCAGAACTAAGGGGGCAATCCTGGGGATTCGCAGTAGTGCATCTACTATGTGAATCATGAGAGGGCATGTTAGCCGAGGCGAACTTCTAAGTTGGTTTCTTATTCTGCTCTTGTGCTGATCTCTTTCTTAGGTCTTGTGCCGACTTCTACTTTCCATGCAATTCCCAATATGTCTCCTGTGTGTGTCGGGATTTCTAACAATGAGTGCACCATAGTTTATCTTTATCATCAACCCTTTTCTGGCAATTTCCCTTTCTTGCTGAATTAGTATAACCTCTTACAACTAAAGCAATGGTCTCCCTCTCAAGAGGATTCATGGCAGATTTTCTACTTTCCTCAAATTGAACCAATGCATACACCTCTTGAACAGATGGAAGATCCTTGCTGCCCAAAATCTGAACTCGAATGGGCTCATACATGGGATTAAGCCCCAGCAAAAACACAAACACCTGCTGCTGTGAAACTAACTGTTTGTAAGCTTTGGCATCCTTCTCACTCTCTTAATCAATGTTTTGATTGTAATCTAACTTTTTCCAGATAGATGTGAGGGCAGAATAGTAGGTGGATAGGTTTCTTTCCCCTTGTTTACATGTTGCAGACTTGGCTTGCAATTGATAAATTCTAGCATAGTGTCTCTGCTTAGAGTAAGTTGACTTTGCTTGTTCCCATATTCCTTAGCTGTCTCAGCCCACATAAAATTCTGCTTAACCGATGGTACCATAGTAGTCAGAAGCCGTGACATAATCATGCAATTCTCCTGGTCCCACTTATCATATTCAGCAGTACCAGCCCTAGCTCCATTACTTTCCCATTGATGTACCCTGCCTTTCCTTGGGAAGTGATGTACAGTCGCATCTCCTTAGACCATGTTAAATAATTCCTGCCATCTAAGGGGATGATAGTTGTTGGAAAATTCATGGAGTTCTGACTACTATTCATTCCTCCTTGATTGAAGGAGGTTCCAGAAGTTTCAGAGTCCTCAGAAGCCGTAGCAAGGAGTGGTTATCAGAAGGTTCAGACCTACAAACCTCCTCCCGTAATCCACACACCAAAAAACACAGCTCTCACTTCAAGTGTTAAAAAAAAAAAAAATTGTAACACAGCACACTGTGTTTGCTGTCACAGGTTCACAGGTCTAACCGATCTCACACGAGCTAGTTTAGGCCACATATGATATCTACAGCACCTTCCGTCACAGATTCACAGGTCTAACTGACCTCACAAAAGCTAGTTTGAGTCACATGTAACATCTACAGATCTCCTGTTGTATCTTTTCATCTGAACCTGGTCATACATGACCTACACAGGTTCTTCATCCACACAGATTTGGATCATCGACCCACAGGGACCAATTTAACAGGTCTACACCATTCGGCTGAGGCAAACTTTAGTATGTTCTTGGTAACAGTACCAAGAACCAATAAAAAAAAACTTCAGTTTATATTTCTGATCAGTTCGACTGACTTCTGGAAGTTACAGTCCAGAGAAGAATGGAAGAGACGAAGAAAGGACAACCAGCGACCTCTAAGATCAGACAATCATCACACGTTTTGTGGAAGTGTTTGTTCATGTTTTTGTTCAAGAATTAATGGAACATGATCAGCCGAACAGTTCTCAGGGCAAGGTCAAATGTATCTTCCTCATTCTCAGTCCAGACATGCAATGGGAGAGCTTTGATCAGTCAAGGAAACTTTTACAGAGCCCTGTCCTGCTCTGATACCATGATATCAATCATAAATGGAACAGAGAAGAGAGAAGGAGAAGGGAAAAGAGAAGAAGAAAGAAGAGAGAGAATTGAAGTCCAAAAAGTATGGGCTGGCGGTGCCAGTCCTTCTATTTATATGTTAGAGCGACCATTACAATAATAAGAAAGAAGGAAAAGACAAAAGTGCCCTTGCGGCACATAACCAAGATTACATCACATTCTATTATATGCTATATATCATTTATAGTATACTATATATCATAGGTGTCCACCTAGGTGACAAAAATTTATGTCAAGACAGTCCATTATCATTTATGCGTTGTTTAATGTTTTACTATTGAAATTTTAAAGTTCAAAAAGTTTTGAGGAGAGAAAAACAAAGAAAGAAATAATAGAAGTATAGAGAGATTTCTTTTTTTTTTCTGCTCTCTCTCTCTCTTTTCAATTAAACAAAACAGCAACTGCATCCTTTTTTTTCTATTTTATATTCCATCTTGAGTTTTTATCATATAAAGTTAATAGCCTTCTTCAGTTGATTGATATGAAATTGCTCTATTAGATAAATAGTAGTATTATACTATTATTTTTGACAACAATGAAATTAATATATTTAAAAGATTTTTATCTTTTAGTTATGATGATTTACCACACTTTCAGAGGAAATTTAATGTTTTAAATAAAGAGAATTGCTATTTTTTCAATTAATATGCATGCTGATTGGTATATATAATTACGGAACTAACCGAAAGTTAGTTTCTTATATCATAAAATTCTTATTGCCTAGGCGCCGTGTCTCCTAGAATCACCTACACTACTTGTATCATAAAATTCTTATTGTCTAGGCGCCCTAGTGTCTCCTAGAATCACCTAGACTACTTGACAAATGCACATATTTAAATTCTTTGAGAATTGTTAGTTTTTACTCTCAGTGTTTCAACTTTGTTAACAGTAACATTTTGTTTTCTATTTTGAAGTCAAATGCACAAGGGACAAATAGAAGTTTCTGTAAGGACAAAGTTGGCATTGGGACATTAGCAGATACAGGATATGCCCCCATTTTATTGTGTATCATAATGATTCTTATAGTGCTGTTCATCAACTCCATTCTTACAGGTGGGCAGCTTTATTCTTCAAAATGTTCATAATGAACTAAATGGAAGATACCAATTGATGCTTTAAATGTTGATTACTTGTTACTAGCCTACTACTCCTTGCAGCTCCTAATTTCACAAAGGTCACTGCTGTTGTTGGACTTTGGGGATGGGTTGCCGTTTCTCTTGCTTTTGGTTCACTATTCATGTTCTACAGATGTAGCAGGTAACTGACAGATGAAACATTCATAATTTTCAATTTTTTAGATTTTTATTTTTTTAAATACTGCCAAGAATGCACATAAAAAATTTCTTATCCTCTCATTGATTGGGCATATTATTCTCATGAATTGGTTCAAATCCATCCACTTCTGACCATAGTGCATGGTGGGAATTCTGAATGGTCCTACAAGGCTCATCAGAGCTGCTTAAGTGTTGGACTGGCTAAATGAGAAGTGCAACTGAACTGCAAGGGGTTGTGAGGTTTCACTTTTGAAAAAGAGAACAAATGGAAATTTTAGTGCACAAGAATTTGCAATTCTAAATGTAGAGATACAGCAAAAGAATCTGAGTTGTCTCCATGATAGATGTGAAAGTAGTTTTTCTCCCAACTGGTTGACTGCTAACACTACTGGTTGACTATTAACAATACTGGTCAAACTGTTAACAATAAAAAGGAGAAAGAATAGAAAAACTTTAACTGCTTCTTCTAGGATGATTCAACCACCTCCTAAAGGCTGTCGATCTCTATAGGGATAGAAAACAACCCAAAAATCTTTGAGTGCCACTTCCAAAGGTAGGTTTAAGCCCTAAACCTAGCATGCACTTGGTTTCTCTAAGTCTTCCTGGTTAAGGTCACACAATACCCTGGGCAGTAGCAAGAAACTCTCCAATAACCCTCCAAGATTCAGACGATATATGTTCATGCCGTCAGCTGGATTAAGACCACATGAGAACCTTAAACAATCCTAGTCCTGCTCTGTTACCAACTTGGAATAGTTTCTGTAACAGACTTAGGTTTAGACTTTAGTGTGTGAGATCAGGCCAGAAAAAATACAAAGGAGAAGAAGAAGAAGAAGTTCTGCTGCCTCTCTATTTGCTATTTATATGTTTCAATAAAAAGAAGACTACAAAGACTAAATTACCCCTGCTGCCTATGAAATAACATAACAGTAGCTAAAGGCAATAAATAAAAGATGGGACCACATAACTAAGACTCCTTTGCTGTATCTCTAAACTAAATTTTGAAACAAGTAAAATATTTAAAAAAAATCTTATCAGATGGGTTAGAGTATCATGTTATTAGTAAGAAGGCTGTAGCCTTACATGTTGAAGTACTACATTGTCTAAACCATTTAAACTTTAAGCATCACAGTTACATCTTCAAGTGATTTAAAATGTTAGATATTTGCTTCTCTTTCATTGCTGGTATTTGTGCCCATTTTAACTGGTAATGATTTTGAATTAGGACTGCTATTTGATAGAACTTGGAACTTGAGGACGGGTTACCATCTATTTACAAGTCATTGTTGATTTTCAACCCTTTTTCTTTATCCATAATCAACCCAAGAGAAACTACACTGGATAAAATCAACTTACCTAGAACCTTAGAAAATAGCATTATAAAGTTGTTTCTCTCAGTCTTCCCTATGTATTTAATCCCTATCAACTATGAGCGCGATCTATTTGATGCATCTCCTCTTAGGATGCATTTGGTATCTTAGTTCATAAGGCTATAGTTCCTTTTGGTGGTTATAAAAGTAGAAAGTCCAACTTTTATTGTTTATGAGAACCAAGATATCTGCCTTCTTGGGGCCAGAAAATTTCCAACTTACCCTCAGATTGTCAGACATTATGTTACAAGGTCTAAACTGACATCTAGAGTGTAAGACCTCATTCAGATGGTTTGGAAATTGAAAAGCTCTCCAGTATAAAATCTAGATAGAAGAGGTGTGGCAGGAGCAGACATGTATTGGGGAGCATCCACTCGAAAGTAGGAGATGGTTTAGCTGCTATAATTGTATTTTTTTTTTTGTACAAGTAAAAGTGGGGGTGATAAGGGATTACCCAGAAAGTAAGATAAAAAACACCAAATAGGAAAAATACATCAACTTTAATTGTCTGAAACCAAGAAGGTTCAGGCCTGTTTAGTAAGAAAAGCAAACCAGAAATGAAGAGAAGAGAAGAGAAGAGGAAGAGAGAATAGAAGAGAATGAGGGGTTCGGCTTGTTTAGTCTGCCGCCCCAAATGATATTTAAAATAGGTCTTCAACATTAAGTGGTACAATGACAAGAATGCCCCTGTCAGTAGAAACAATAAAAAAAAAGGTCTAACAGTACTATAAACAAGAAAGAACATATGAGCAGATGGGACCACAAGCTGGTCAACCATTTTCTCTACACTCCCCCTCAAGTTTGGGAAAATATATTGATCATTCCCAACTTGCTTAAATCTGACTCAAGTTTGATTTTGTTGACTACCTTGGTGAAGACATCAGCAAGCTGCATATTAGTGGCAACATAAGGAATGCACACTTCTTGAGAGGCAACTTTCTCTCGGATGAAATGTCTGTCAACTTCAATGTGTTTGGTTCTATCATGTTGTATTGGGTTGTGAGCAATGTTAATAGCCGCCTAATTATCACAATACAACATCAAGGGTCTTTCAAACTCAATTCCCAATTCTGTAAGGAGAGACTTCAGCCATAATATTTCAGCAACACCATTAGCCATAAACCTGTATTCATCTTCAGCATTGGACCGAGCAACAACATTTTGCTTCTTGCTCCTCCATGAAACTAAGTTTCCTCCAACAAAGGCACAATACCCAAAAGTAGATCTCCTATCATCAATACAACCTGCCCAATCTGCATTACTGTATACTTCAATCTTCATATGGCCACTATTTTTAAAAAGTATACCTTGGCCTGGACACCTCTTCAAGTAGGCTAAATTTCTCCCAACAGCAAGGAGGTGTGAGGTCTTGGGAGAGTGCATGTACCAACTAACAACACTTACAGCATACGAAATGTCGGGGCGAGTCAGACATAGGTAGAGAAGTCTTCCTACAAGCTGTTGATACATACCTTTATCTTCTAGAGGCTCACCATCCTTTACATTAATCTTATGATTTTGCTCAATGGGAGTATCAACAAGCTTAGCTCCTAGTTTTCCTGTCTCTTCCAAGAGATCAAGAACATACTCCCTCTGGGAAATAAAAATACCATGCTTAAACCTTGCCACTTCTATCCCAAGGAAATACCTCAACTCACCCAGATCCTTTACTTCAAATTTTTTATTCAGCAATTACTTAAGAGAGTTAATCTCATCAATATCACTTCTTGTCACCACAATGTCATCCACATACACAGCTAGGAGAGTCAAAGTAGATTCTTTCTTCTCAAAGACCAAAGTGTGGTCAGATTTGGATTGAACCTAGCCAAATCTTTCCAAAGCAAGTCTGAATCTATCAAACCCTGCCCTTGGAGATTGTTTTAGACCATACAAAGCTTTCTTCAACTTGCAAACTTTCTTACCAGTCTCTACACCATAGAAACTATGAGGTAACTCCATATACACCTCCTCCTACAAGTCACCATTTAGAAATGCATTCTTAACATCCATCTGAAACAGAGGCCAAGAGAAGTTAGTAGCAAGAGACAGTAAAACCCTGATGGTATTCATTTTTGCCACCAGTCTAGCTTTATACCTTTCAACTGTACCATCAGCATTATACTTCACTGTGAATATCCACTTACACCCAACAGGCTTCTTCTCTCTGGGTTGATCAACCAGTTCCCAAGTATCATTCTTTACAAGGGCATCCATCTCAGCCTTCATTGCTTCCTTCCACTCAGGGACAACAAGGGCCTATTGAACTGTTCTAGGAATGGGAATAGCAGCAATGGAGGCTAAAAAGGACTTATATGATGATGAAATGTGATCATAAGAAAGAAAATGAGAGATACAATGGGCAGAGGATGAGGTACGCTGACATTTCCCCTTACGTACTGCAATCGGAAGGTCAAGGTCATCTGAGGATGGCAAAGGCACAGTAGTGGAAGACGGTATGTCATCAGTAGTAGGAAGTGGTAAGGAGGAAGTAATGCCTGAATCTGGTGCTGTAGAAGAGATAGGAATTGGCTTGGATTAATCATTATTAGAACAGACTTGCCGCCACCATCTTATGTGAAACACCCTCAATTCTTTACACTTTTGACAACTCCCTTCAATACACTCCCCTCCACTTGCAGGAATGGGCAAAGGAACATCTTGAGCAAACACACCCTACTCACCACTCTCCCCCTGAGGTGAAACCCTAGGGTAATAAGGGATATCTTCAAAGAAGGTGACATCCATAGATACAAACCTGGTTCTCGAGACAGGGTCATAGCAACAATGCCCCTTTTGATTTTGTGCATACCCTAGGAAAATACATTTGGCAACCTTAGATCAAATTTTGAACGGGTAGGCCCAAGGATTTGGACTAAACAAGTGCAACCAAAGGTTTTGGGAAGAACAAAGAACCGCTCCTTATCATGATACAACAAGTTAAAAGGAGCTTTCATGTCCAAGACTCGTGAAGAATCCTGTTAATGAGATAAACAACAGTAAGAATGGCATCCCCCCATAAACGAATAGGAACATTAGTATTCAGCATGATGCTTCTTGCAACTTCAAGGATGTGTTTGTTTTTCCTCTCATCTACACCATTCTGCTGAGGTGTATGAGGACAAGTGCTTTGATGAATCACTCCATGTTCAAGGAGATAAGTGGATAGGGGTTTTGCAAAATATTTTTTGGCATTATCATATCTGAGATTTTTTATTGTAACCCCAAAATGAGTCAAGATCATTTGATGAAAAATGCGGGTCAAAGTGGGAACCTCATCCTAAGAGCGCATGACGTAAACCCATGAAAACCGAGAGTGGTCATCAACAAATAATAGAAAGTATTTGTACCCACCCATAGTAGGAATATGATAAGGCTCCCAAAAATCAATGTGCACAATTTCAAAAAGAACATAACTTCTTTTATTACTTTGTGAATAAGTTGATCTACAATGCTTTGCCAACTCACAACTCTCACACTTCAGATTGGACACTTTGATTGACTCAAATAAATTAGGAAAAAGACTCCTTAAAGACCCAAAAGAAAGATGACCCAATCGATTATGCCAAAGCATAATCTGACTCATAGACTGTGACACAAAAGACTTCCCATTTTCTTTCCTCTTCCCAGGTGGATGTTCATGCAAGTAGATCCCATTCATCTCACGGCCAGTCCCAATCACCTTCCTTGTAACCAGATCCTGAAAAACACAATGATCAGGGAAAAAGGTTACAGAACAGTTCTGGTGTTTAGTGATACTACTGACAAAAAGAAGATTAGTGCTTACTTTAGGAACATGCAGAACTGAGGATAAGGAAATAGCATCAGAGACATTGATGTCTCCCTTGCCTAAAATAGGGACAAGAGAGCCATCAACAATAGACACTTTGTCTCTGCCAGAGGACAAGCAATAGGTGTGAAACAATGAAGATAAACTAGTCATATGATCAAATGCGCCTGAATCAATAATCCAAAAATGGCTAGTGTTACCTGGTGTAGAGGCACGACAGGCAGAGGCCCTTGTACCTGATTGAGCAAAAGCAGAGGTTGGATTAGAATGAGACTATCTAGAGCAACCAACTTCACTCTCCAACTGAGATAAAACAGCCCTAACAGCAGCCAATGCATCAAGAGGATTGGATCTAGTGTTGGGAGTGGATGGAGCTCTTGTGGTTACAGTTGTGGGTGAAGCTCATGTGGTTATAGCCGCATTAGCATCTCCCTTCTTGTTCTTAAGTCTTTCTGGAATTAGCTGAGGATGAAACTTCCAACAAGTGTCCTTAGTATGTTTTGGCTTCTTACAGTAGTCACAAAACACATCCCTCTTTCCATCCTTCTTTACATCCCTCTCCTTATCATCTCCAGTCTTTGGCTTTATAGTTTCTAAAGCTGATTCCATAGATGGGATTTGCAACATAACTTTCCTTCTACTTTCCTCACTATATACCAAAGAGTAGGCTTGAGATAAAGAGACACTATCTCTAGTGAGAAGTTGTTGTTTTACAATGCCATAGGCAGAGTTCAACCCAGCCAGGAATTCAAACACTATTTTTCTCAACCAATTTCTTGAATGTGGCAGCATCCTTTTGGCTCTCCCACTCAATAGTCTCAAGATGATTCAATCTCATACCACAATGATTTCAAGGTGGAGAAATAGACACACAGGTTTCTCCCCCTGTTTAAGATTATTCACCTCCATTTTCAATTCATAAGCTCTAGCACCATTAAGGGGCTGAGAATAGATTTCTTTAATATTGTCCCAAATCTCCTTAGCTGTCTTTGCCCAAAGATAGTTTCTACTGATTCGAAACTGCATGGAGTTGCATAACCAAGTCAACCAAATAATTTTCTTGAACCCATTTGGCAAGGGAAGGGTCCTCCTGTGCTGGTTTCTTTGTGTCTACCATCACATACCCCAGTTTTCCACTCCCTCCAATGGCCATCACGGCTGATTGGGCCCATTCCAAATAGTTTGTTCCATCAAACTTGACTGTAGTAATCTGAAATAAATTGTTACCAGTAGATTTTACAGCTCCTACAAGGCCTCCATTTGGTTTGTTCTCATTTCCAACCATTTCCATGCTGAAGTGGACAAAGAGTAATCATTGAATTAAGGGTACAGCACTGTCCAAACTCCTTTTCTAAACAAAAATAAAAATAAACCCAGAAATTACTGGGTGCCACTCTCAATCTCTGATTTAAGCTCTAAATCAGAAACCAGCTAGTTTTCTCCGATTCTTCTTGGTCACCGGACAGCTCTCCAAGAGATTTGAATCTTGGGCACCTTCTTCGATCTCCAATGACCTCCAAGAACCAGGCGACTCAAGCTGAAACTTCCAGCCCTAGAACAACTCTCATGTAGTCGGCTGGACAACACCTACATGAGAGCCCAAGCCAGGTTTAGGCCTGCTCTGATACCAAATTGTCTGAAACCAAGAAGGTTCAGACCTGTTTAGTAAGAAAAGCAAACCAGAAATGAAGAGAAGAGAAGAGGAGAGAAGAGAAGAGAATGAGGGGTTCAGCTTGCTTAGTCTGCCGCCCCAAATGATATTTAAAATAGGTCTTCAACATTAAGTGGTACAATGACAAGAATGCCCCTGTCACTAGAAATAATAGAAAAAAAAAAGTTCTAACGGTACTATAAACAAGAAAGAACATATGAGCAGATGGGACCACAAGCTGGTCAACCATTTTCTCTACAACTTTCAACCCTTCCCCCCTCCTAGTTCCAGTTCTAAAACTGACCCAACAACCAATCCCAAAAGAATCTTTACAATCCCATGAATTCTGGAAGAATCATAATCCAATCCTATATTCTTTTAGATGTAAATCCTACCTTCAATAATGTGAAATAAAATAGAAAAAAAAAATAGAAAAGAAGAAGAAGAAGATGGAAGAAACAATGGAGAAAGAAAATGGAAGAAAAGGGAAGAAAGGAAGAGAGTAATCGAGCCTCTCTCTTTCCCCCACAAATATGTTTTATTCTTTGATTGTAAAAAAGGACATAATTATATGAATACCCTTAGTAGGGCGGCCAGCACTAGAAACAATAATAAAAGAAATAAAACAGGCCTATAACTAAGGCCCACTAACCACAAAAATAAAACATGAGCAGAAATAAATAATAATAATGACCTATGGCCCATTCGGTCATAGATATCAATCATGCCCAGCTTGCTTACATAGTATTGTAACTTTACCTTAGGGACACCCTTGGTTTGAACATCTACTAACCGTTGCTCTAAGGCAATGAAAGGAAGGAAAACTTCTCCGAAAGCCACTCTTTATCTTATAAAATGCCGGTCTACTTCAATGTGTTTTGTCCTATCATGTTGAACCTGATTGTGAGCTATGTTAATTGCAACTTGGTTATCACATTACAATATTAAGGGCTTATCATATGCAATACCCATCTCCTCTAGGAGTGACTTGAGCCATAACAGTTGTGGAACTCCATGTGCCATGATCTTGTACTCTGCCTCAACTGAAGATCTAGCTACTACTGATTGCTTCTTACTTCTCCAAGAGACAATAACTAGATGTAGATCTTTTATCATCAAAACTACCAGCCCAATCGGCATATGTGTAAGCCTCTAGTTTCATGTGTCCTTGACTAGACAAAGGTGGCATCTCTTGCCAACCGGATACCCCTATCATTGATGTGGTATTAAGTAAGAATGCCGTCCAAAGCAACCAAACATGCAAAGTCCTCAAACCTTGGAGGAATAGGATTGCCCCAAACACTTTTAATATTTACCCTTCCAACCTGATTTCTTGCCAATAAGGGTGGCAAATGGGTGGGTTGGGTGTGGGTTGAGTACCAACCCACCCATATTGACCCAGTAACCATTTGCCACCCATCCCACTTTGACCCTGACCCACCCTAACCCACCCTTTTGACCCTTTAATTCAAAATAGACTTCCTTTTTACTTTTTTTTTTCTATTCTAATTGTATAAAAACATAGAATTATATATTTCAACTAAAAAATATAAAAAAGTCATTTTTAAAAAATGCATTAAAACAAATAAATGGCAAATGAAATATATATATATATATGTAAAACATCAAAAATTGCAGAAAAATACATCAAAAAATTCAGATGACTAGATATTTTGCTCAATTGTCCTTATTTTCAAAGTTCTTGCAATGATATCTATTTTTTTCTCTTGCAGTAAAGACCCAGGTTACATAAAAAGGTCTGCAGGTTTTACTGATCATATGGATAAAGAGGTATATATTGATTGTGTGTTACTTTTTCGGAACATTTTGCTATCCCTTGTCAAACTAAAATTAATTTGTCAAAGGTCAAGGTTTTCTGGAAGTGTAGTTGTTTAAGTATAGATGGACATGATTTGACATAAAAACTCTCTTTTAGTAATAGGATAAATCTTGCTATTCAGTTATGAAGCTAGCATGAATTTTACTTCTTATATTAATCTGGATAATTGAAACTATGGTACATTTAAGATGGAAAAGTGCAGGACTTTCCTGTAACATTGAAAACTATGAGGTGATTATCTGTCAAAAAGGGGTTCGCTTTGATTGTGAATGTCTATGATCTATAATTGATTTCTATCTTGGCATTGATTGCCATGTGGATTGAAAAGTTGCAAGGAGATTATGTGGCATGGGGTGAACAAATAGAAGAAAAATCATTAGGTTGATTGGTCCATGTTTTGCACCGTAAAAGATCTGCCATGGATTGGGGCACCATTTTGTTTGAATGTTTGATAGGAAATTTCTGTATTGTGGAGATTCTAGGAGGAGGTTGATATACGGAGAAGGCTAATTAACAGATGTATGGAACCTGCAATAATGATTAGAAAACTGATATTGTGAAAAGTGGCTGTGATTTATGTTTGTGGAGATTCTTTGAAAGATCCCTAAAAATTCCTCCAAGGTCGTCCCCTTTATGCTTGGGTGTGGTAATAATACCAGAAGAAAAATGACAGAATATTCCAGAATCATAAAAAGCATCTTATTGGGAGGATCATGACCATGTGAAGAGTTTTTGACTTGGGAATATCAAGAACTCTTTTGTGCATAATATTTTAGTTATCAGGGAAAACAAGAAGGTTGTAGCATTTCAGAATGAGACGTCAGCCAGTGGTAGGGATGATGAGAAAAAATCTCACCAAATCTAAGTCTGAATGCAGCTGCAAGTTGCAATAACACTTGAAGCATGAGTAAATAAGTCGTTTATATTTACAAAAGGCATCAGTCCATTAATGTCTGCATGTAAAACAATATGGATGGTCGGGACAATTATTTTCTGGTGACAGATACATCAACTAACAAAAGGCAACATCAGCTAAAGGCCATTACCGAATGTTGGTCCTAGCCATCTGGGGTTATGGAATACAGGCCTAACCTTCAACATTTACACATTTACACTTGTCAGCCCAAGATTTTACCATTGCACCAAGCAACGACCCCTAATATATTAAGAGGTTAAATAATAATGTGCCGAATAGATTGAAGGAGGCACCTTCATGCCAAATATTTTTTTAATCAGTAAAGAATAGTCATTTTATTAAAATATGTTCAGTTCTGTGCCAAGATCCCCTCAAGGGTAGCTAGCCTGAATAAATTTGGCTTCCAGCTGCCCCCTTTTGGCAAGCCTATCTGCAATGCTATTATCTGCTCTTGGAATCCATCAAAAACTGTCCTCAATCCCAGCACTACTCTTGTAACTTCCCTTAAAATATATCTATAATTCCATGAAGTAGTTTTGTTATTTCTTTAAGTAGAAGATCAAGACTGTAATCAGTCTTGAATCCTAATAGATTTTAGGTTTACAAAAGTAGAAGAAAAGTGAGAGAAAGGAGAAGGAAGAGAAGAGAAACAGGGGAACACAGGGAGTTGAAAGGAGGGACAGATTCTAACACCTCTGCCGCCGCCACTCTCTTAGCATTTATAGGTTATGTTCAGTACATAATGGAAAGGACAGATCTGCCC